AGAACGGCCGTCCGTGTACCCACCAGCCTCTGGTCCAGTGAAGCAAACGGTCGTCCCACTGATGCTGATGGTCATGTTGACGAAGAGTTGGAGGTCAAACAACCAACAACTGGGGCCCGTCTCAATGGGCGTCAATGAGGAGGTCACAAATCCATCCACTCAGTCACGCCCACCCACTCTGTTTTCACGGGCCACGTACCCGTACCTCTATTTTGGCCCTGGCCAAAGCCTCAACGATGACCGTCATGCCATGCCAAGCTCCAACATGGTCGTTTCGTCATGGGCCGCCCCGGTGAAACTGGTGGTCTCTACGGTCGTCTGCGACCGTAACGAGCGCCGCTTCCCCCGGAGCCTGGGAGCCTATGGGAAGTCCTCAGGCTCCATTTTCATCCGAAAAGGCATATACAGTAAGTATGTTGTGGTGCAAAACGTACCCGACCTGAGTTGGGGTTTTGAGTCGGATTTTTGACTGCACCCTTTTTTTATCAACGTTCTTTATTTAGTGACTCTGATTCGAAAGCTGCAGATGAAGAATCATTGATTTCCAATGTGAGTGAAAGGGTTTGTGTAAGGGAAAGGGATTAATCCTTTGATTGGAGGTTTTTCCATGTTTGATAACGAATTCAATAGCTTTTCTGGGCAACGGACCTGTAAAGCGGTTCCCACGGAACTTGGGCACCCGGTAGTACGTACAGAACTCAGTCTAGAAGCGATCCTCATTGGGTTTGACTTGGTAGGTTTAAGTGCACAAAAACGGACAAACATCCTGCTTCATATTAAATCAATTGGCTCAGCGGTGCAAAACGTCAGGAAAACACCATCCAAAAGCTCACCTCGTGGATTCCTGGGTTCATGAAAGGGGGAACCGCTTCCACTGTTGATCAAGACCATTCCCAATTACACACCGTCTGCTCGGCGGGCACGTTGAGCAAAAGGGGGCCGCCAAACTCCCTGCAAAAGCATCAAATACATCGAATTGATAATTTGAACGGATAGGTTGCAAAGTGTTGGTCCTCAATTTAAACTGGTTCCTTGGAACCCTGGAAAGCTGCAACGTTTATGTTCAATAGTCAGCACAGGTTGAAATCATGAACAATCCTTACATCATCTCACACCTCAATCATCATAGATCATCAACGACTGTATACCAGGAGTCACAAGACGGGGTGCCGATTATTGGAGGATAGGGGGGGGGACTAGCAACCACCCCGACATGTGACTCCTGGTAAAAAGGCAGATCTGTTTGGCCCAGTATTGGTGTCGGCTCTCCGCGATTCGGCCGATTCTCGGTGCCCGGGCATCGGCGGTCCCGGGGGCGGTGGTCCATAGCCATGGGGAGGTGGAGGTGGATAACCTCGGCAGAAAGCGAGCGCGGCGAAAAAAAGCGCGACGTCGGGGTGTTGGTGCCTTTTCGGCTGTTTCGAACATTGATGCAAGAAATACCAAACGAAAGGCCAAGTTGGGCATTCGGCCCTGACGCAGAGGAGCGAGTCTGTCAGACATGCAGTCGTGAAGGAGTCGCGATCTGCAGCGGAGGATCTAAGCGAAGCTCCAAAAACTCAGAAGTGGTAACCGCGACTGGCGCAATGGTACTCTTTTTTGCTCTCCCCATACACCCCACTCTAGTCACTCTAGTAGAAGGATTGATTGTCACAAGTTGATACAGTAATCGATGCGAACTTCGAGGGCAAAAAGCGGTCACGTCTGTGGATGAGGTTGAAGGATGTTCCCCGGTTCTTGTCCTACTCCCACCGTGAGTGCTTCCCCACTCCGACTCTTTGGCGCACGTGTCTCAGCTTCCCCACCATGAGGTGGCGGATAGCCGTGCGGCGGCGGACCGTGAGGTGGTGGGTGACCGTGAGGTGGCGGATGGCCATACCTCAGCTGAGAATGCATGGCCATACCTCCCGCCAAGTATGCGAAGCTGCCTGGAAGTATCGAAGCTGCCAAGTATAGGATGCCTGAACCGTTTATACAAAAAGGGCTCCAGGAGGTTTCCTCCTCAGAAGGTATTTGAACCCTCCTGGCACCCACCCCAAACACCTTCTCAGAATGTACTTGGAGCCCTAGGGTATGTATAGACCTCCAAGTTGGCCAAAAATAAATAGATAGAAATTGGTAGATCCCCACGACTGGAAACCGTGACACGATCTACTGTGGATCATTGAACTCCGAAACAAAGGAAGCATCACAAAACACATCATCTTCCGGGGTTTGCTTGGTGTGTAGCAGAACCTTTGCTTTGTCTGCCTTGGATCACTCTTTTTGGCTAGTATCTTCCCGACTGTTGTTTTTGTTGATCATCCCTTCGTCCGTTGCAGAACATAACATAGGGACATAAGGAAAATATATCCTGGGACATCCACAGACTTTTACAATCCCTGAGCTTCCCGGAAATCCTTTTGGTTTTGGAGACATTGTTCCTCTCACATGATAGAAACACTTTCTATCCAATTGGACCGACCAAACATTGAGAGAGTTTCTAGGTATAGCGGTCGGCACAACCCCTGTTTTTTCTTGTGTGTGTGACAACACCATGACATGGAACAGAATGATCAGAATGATCTAGTAGCTATAAGAATCATATATATATATATATAGTGTTTTGGTCCGATGCTTTGTCACCATTACTCTTCACTTGTGGTGGGGTTGCTCAAATTAGGGAATGACAATACAAAGGACATAGCATCAAAGTACCTTTGGCATGGGATGGTCTTCTCTATGTCAAAGTTCAACACACATGTTAATGGTCAATTTGTCCTGTCTGTCACCCTCAACGTGTCACCCTTGTTCTGACTATCTCAACAACTGCAAATAGATTAAATAGTCCATGTTGCCGATGACAAAAACAAATACTCAAAATAAACAACGCAAACAACAACCAATCCCAAAAAACATCAAACATATCAAAACAAACCATGCACAAACTTAGGGATCCTTTGCACCCCAACAAAAAACAGAACACCACGTCTCCGGTCTACACTCTTCCCCCATCGCCGCGGCGACCGCTTGCCGAGGGGCGGCGGAGGTGGGGGTCCCTTGCCTGGGGACGTTCAGAACGGATCTGCAGGGCGAACTGTGAACATCGATTGGCCGAAAAGTCACATGGCAAAACAGGTAGAACTATTCTGAACACCAAGAACTGCGGGGATTCACTCAGGTCGGGAGAAACATAGAAACCAATCCGAGACATGAACCATGTGAAAAAAAAAAACACAATGAAACGAGCGCTCTATGGGACTCTGAACTGCGTACCGCTGCCCTACATTGACCTCAGAAACAACCACCAACCACACAAACGTATCGTCCTAATCAAGGTCCCAAATGGCTTGGACCTACGCCGTGGGACACATGTAGGCCATGCCTGAGCGGGTCGCCACCCGCGCGCGCGACGGTCGGCGCACCTCCCGGTGGTGGAGGGTAGGGTGGTGGATGTCCTGAAACCCATCGAGGTGTCCGCGAACGGAGTCAGCGGTCCGTTTTGGGGCCCAGTTCACCGGTGACGTGGCACACGTGGTGATGCAGTCAAGCTGAAACAAGAACAACATGGCAACATGGAGCCTTTTGGGGTCAAGGAAGATGGTTGTATGATGTTGTAAACCCATGCTTGTAATCATGTTCTCAAAAAAGGGTCCAAATAGCACACTCTCCATGGAAAACAACATGCAAGGTGGGGAACATTGTGGGTGCGGACGAGAAAACCGGTATCACATAAGATAGAACCGGAGGTAAACACATTAGGAGTCCTTGACAAGGGGTCAATATATCTGGATCTTCCAAGTGTGCAAATGCATAATTCCTTCATCTATGGAATTGATGTTTTTCGCTCCCAGACGCTCCACGGGATTAAAATTGATCTTATTAAACCCTTCAATGCAGGTTCATATGCCCTATATGGTGTGTCAGGGTGTGATTCTGTTATATAGGAGGTCATCGCTCTTAGGCTGGAGGCTGTTGCTGAGGTAGAGAGACGGGTGCTCCACAACTTTGGTGCTTCCGACGTGCTAAACGGCGCCCCAGGAAATTGGCCAAGCGAACATCATTTGAACAACTAGCTGAGATTGAGAATGAATCCCCTATTGAGAATTGTGCTATTGTGCTATTGTGCTGAGATTCCCTTGTGAGAATCCCCGCGACGATTGATTGTTTTGAACTCTGAACTGAAAAGAATATAAGACACCGCTGTCGATATTGATATGCAGCAGCAAACCCACCGCTTGTCGCCACGCTCCCACGTTTTCTGAGTTCCATCCCTGTGGCCCCCGTTTTGGCACGCAACGGCGCTCACTTGTTTTGTTGGATTTAGGCGCGGAGACCTCACACTCTGCGGAGAGGGTCAGCTGGTTTCCTTCAATTGCCGATGTGGCAGTTGGTCTGGCACATGTCTTCATTTCTACTAGCAATCTCTAGGGATGCAAGTACCCTCTCAGAAGGTGATTGGAGACACTGTCATGTAGGTTTGGAGGGTCCAAGTACCTTCTGAGGTGGCAGTGGATCCCTAGGAAAGGGCCTAGCAGGCCTAGCATGGGAGACAGTTAGGTGGAGCAGTTTGGGCAAACAGTTGAGATAGTTCGGTCCCAGAACTTAAACAATCCACAAGACAAGTACGGAGTCAAAGAAGTTTTTGCCTGACTCCTTCCAGTTCCCTGGGCAAAAAAAACAACATGTTATATATATATATATAGTATCATTCCTGTTTCATCCTCTTCCTACCTGTTCTTGTTTAGTGGGGTGCCACCACTCCCAAAACAAGGTTAAAGGTTATGCACTGGCTGGATATGTTGCAGGTCCCACTTCACCTTATCCTGGTTCAGCACACTTCCTCAAGAGAACTTCAAGCTTGAACCATCTCAGCAGCTTCGAACTTGAGCCATCTTTCTTTTCGCTGTTCAACCTATTTTTTTCTGACACTCTCCCCAAGCAACCTGCGCTCCGAAAAAGAAATGAAGGCCGTCTTGACCCTCAAACGGAGAGGCGCAGCAGGATGGAGCCAGCTGCAGCTAGAACACCTTGAGGAACCACTCACAGCATCGCTCCTTGGAGATGTCGCCGGGTGCTGGCTGAGTCGTTGGGTTGTACCAGGTGCAGTTTTCCTCCGCACCTGGGATGCGAACCTTTGGGATGATGATGGAACCAGGGCGAAGCTCCAGGGTGAGATGAGCAAGTGCCCAAACCCACCAAGTTCGTGTCAGCTGGACAGTCAACCTGGAAACTAAACAAGGATTGTATTTGTTCCATACAAACATAGACCGCAGTGACTACTTACAGCCGTCCGCTATTCCCAAACCCTAAGTGAATGAAATATAGCATTCCTGCAACAGCTGCAACATTTTTTCTTTTTTACACATTCTTTTCTAGATGCTTCAGTCAGTGACAGGGTCTGTGTGCCGGTTCCCCAGGGCATCCGGTCGGACCTATCTCCAACTCACCGAAAGCATCGCAAAACAACCTCCAAGCCTCCCGTGGCGAAGGCATGGACTTCGGCTTCACTTCCATCGGCGCGGGCACAATGTGGTTGATGGTCTCGTGGGCGCCTCAGCTCAGAACCATGCAACGTACCAAGCATCTGAAGGGAACAGCGTCCCTTTTGGTCCCTGTGCTTCTGTGGGTCCCTTTTAATGGTCCCTGTACAAATGGTTTGTCCCAAGACAAAATATGCCAAGCAGGTGTTCACCTATACAACCGCTGGCTTGATGATCTCGCCGAGGACCTCTATGCTGAAAGAAAAGACCTGTGCGTTTTTGGAGCGCTTGCCCGATGCTGAGAAGAAAAAACGCGCTGCCGGGCCAGGTGAAATCAATTACCGGTTCCACGCGGTTCTCCAGCCTGGTCAGAATTCATGGAAATCGCACAATCGATTTGACTTGTCGATCTGTATGACTATCTCACCCGAGGTTTCCTTCCAATCAAAACCCCCGTCAACCCACTTTTCTGTGATCCAGTGCATGATTTGGCGCATCAACGAAGATGAAGCCCCGAAAATGCGTTCCTTCTTCCGTGTTGTAAGAAGCATGGAATGATTTCTCTACAAGCCAGTGGGATGATCCCACACTCGGCACAGTTGTTCTGCGCCAGTCCCTCCGAACATACGGCTCGAAGACGACCAACCTCCAGTCGGCCTGCTGTTCGCTCTGCTGCTTTGCTTCTTCCGCATCGCCGCAAGAACCATCGCAAGAAGCACCTCGGAACGGTATCGGTGAGCCAAAGCAACATGTATATTTACTCCAGTCTAGGAAGTATCTGTTAGAGTTACATCCCAACTGGATTGGATTCTATGAGAGGTGGCTACTCCCTTCGAACGGCGTCTCGTGCTCGCCATTCCGTCCTTCTCTTCCACCCGCCTGGTTTGATCTCGCCAGTGGCGCTGTCAACCTGTGATCTCACAGGATTTGCGTTGGGATGCTTCGCAGCACATACCCTCCCTCAGGCGCAGTCTCTCTGCCCCTTTGGGTGCGCAGTCTCCCTGGTCACACCAGAACGAATCGAAAACCCAAACCTGAGGGAAAAGGTAGCTCCTGAATACCAACAAGGGTGGGCTGGGAGGGCCTCAAAAGCCAGTTTGGCTCAAAAGGTACCTTGAGCCAAAATGTTATATGAACAGAATACAATTAGTCTATTAGAGATGAACAATGCAAACCCAAGCCTTCCAGACCTGATGCATAATTACATATAATTGATATTTTTCTTCGAGACATTTTGAGACTATATACTATATTAGAACATTCACCAACAACTCGCAACGCTCTTCGGTCGATCAAAGGCATGGCTGACGAACAGGAAGTCCCCCCATCAGTCTGGTCCTGTCAGACTCGCTCTTCGATGGATCTGACGGGGGGGCGCTGGACTTTGCATGTTCCCACCCGTCAACCGAACCGGGTTCAACCCCATGGCATCCCCAGTAGATTCTTAGTATGAAAACCAATTGACTGGTCACTAACTAAATTGTACCCAATCACTTGGGTCTATCCTATTCCCAGGGCCTGATGGATGATGGTTAGGTTGCAGGCCGACATCTATAATAGAGTGATAAGACCAATAAGACCTTTTACTGACTTTTACAGGTTTACAGGTTTACCAACCCAACACGTCACAGTGATTTCCCGCATTCCCAGCTGCAGGTGTTGTTCTGGATTATGTTTCTTTTTACAACTCAATTTAGGGCAAAACGCAGAAAAAGAACACAGCAGTTTATGTTTAACTTTCTTTCCCATGCCTTCTGTCGGAACGTGAAGAAAATGTGGGGACGATGGGTGTGATTCTGTTAGTTATGGGCCTTCAATACACGTTTTTTGTAGGTGAACACCTTTGTTTTTGCATGGTTTTGAGGGCCGGTAGGGGTTGCAAACAACTTCTGCATTCTTTTATGACGAGTCCGGAAGCTTTTGGGCACCACTGTACTGTATTCGGTCCGTGGTGTTTAGACCGCACACACGGTGGGGAGCACAGTGGGGCGGAGCAAGGGTCCTAAAACCACAACGGCCATCTATGGCACGTGTACCTAGTTTGAGTATATCACATGCAGGTCGACTAATGTCTTGTCATGGCGCCAGTAGACTTCAAAACCTACTGTGGCCGCCAGCGCGGTCAGCGCCGTGGTCAGAGTGCCTCAGGGCAAGGCGATCGAGGTGAACACCCAGTTTTCCGAGCTCTTGATGATTCATGGATTCTTTTCAAGCCATGCATGCCATGGCCTTGCATGTCGTGATGTGGAAATATTAGCGATACTCGAAGTGGACCTAGTTCTTTTAAGCATGTGGGCGGACATTGAATAGTTTAGTATAGTATATAGATCACCTACGTACTCTTTTTCAAAGGTCCTTGTGAAGAGATTCCTCATGAAGAGATTGAGTCTTTGGAATCCGATCGTCCGTTCGAGAAGTCTGCTGGAGTTCGGAAAGTCTTTGAGCCAAACTCCGAATGGCCAAAGAGGAGCCACCACCTCACGAAACAGTGGCAAATCTTGCCCACCAAAACACACCAGTCTTTTTTTCTTGTCAATTGGTTGGTTCCACCAATTGACTGATTGCACCAATAGACCAATTTGACATGTGTAAGGAATCCATGTATTTCTTTTATGCATGACCAAATATAAATACATATCAAACACAAAACAACTATTCCATTTCGACACTGTCTGACTGTTGATGCGCTTGGTATCATTGGTACAGAATGCTCCACACGTCGATCAGAACCCGCCGGAACCGGTGCGGTGCGGACCGAGCGACACAGATTCTCCGTCACCAGCACAGCGCCACACTCTTGTGCCGCCAGAGCGAAGGGCAACAGCAAGACCAGGACGTTCATGACCTTAAGCTGGGCGTGTGTGAAACCACTCCAATGTGGACAAAGCTTTGAAACCCGTTTTGGCCGAAAGGGGAAGATCACACACGACCGATGGGAGTGGCATATATGCCTCCCCATTGACCCCCCTTTTCAACCACCCCAAGGTATGCAACTATGACATAAATGGCGTGTCTGGGACCAGGAGGGTGAGACCGGTTTGTTTGTAGATACCAACAGCTCTGCTTGAGATGGGAGTAGATCTTTGGAGGGCAGATGTTTGGATCACTCTGGATTCTGGATGTTGAATACATGAATCATGTTGGTGGTGGAAGCTGTCCGCTGCTTGGGGTCGCCCGAAGAATCTGGATGAGGGGAAGGTTCTGCTTACGTCAAGTGTTAAACACGTGCAAGGGGAAGGTCCCATACGCAAACCTTTCAATGAACAGATTCCATCTTTCAACTCGGGGAAGAAAGCACAACAGTTCTGATCTCGTGGGCTGTTGTTGAAGCCCCCCCAGAACCTCTTCCAACCATTCCCAGAGCCATTTGAGCCAACCCTTGGGCCCTTGGGTGCCGCGCGATGGCAATATGAACCTCGGCAGAAACAAACAAAAATCGGTGCGCACGCCAAACGCGCGGAAGAGAGAACTTTCAATCACTCCCAACACCTCTGCAGTTCGGGTTTATAGACCCTATGTTCCTTCCAAACATGAACCCCTTTCTTTCGGATTCTTTCAGTGCTCAACAAACATGAACGATCGTCCCACCTTGTCCCACCCCGCCGATCTCCTATCGATCTCCTTCGATCTCTTTGACGCTTTCAAGGAATCTATCCCTAGGGATCCAGTCGTACCTCCTCAAAAAGTACTTGGACACTCCTGGCACCCACCCCAGTCCCACCTTCTCAGAGGGTACGACTGGATCCTGAGGGGTATGTGTGTTCCAAAACCATCGCCGTCCCCCATCGCCCCTGCCCGTCCCGTCTCGACTCTGGACCCCCGGGCGATCCATTGGGCACATGACGGAAGCCACTTCTGCGAGAAACGACGGGCCAAACGCCACACGCGTCGCGTCGCGTTTGGCGCCGCGCACCAAGGTGGTCACGGGCTCGGGCCATCGGGAAGGTTCGGACCGGGTCGGCGGGGGGGTTCGATCGCGAAGCAAGATCCGAAGCATATTATGAAGCAAACACTCCATATATACCTGAAGGATCAATCGTACTATATAGTAATTTCTGTACCAAATGCTCCATCAGGTATGATATGGCGTGATACCTCCCGACCCCTTGGAGTGTCTGGCGGGATGACCAGTTCGGTGCAGGTTCACCACCCGTTGATTGGGGTCCCCAAACAGCTGAACCCTAGAGGATCCTAGAGGATCCAGTTCTGTCCAGGTATGATAATGGATGATCTATTGGGGCTTGATGGTTCTCGTAGCTCTGATTTAAACAAGAATACATAATAATACCAGCTCCTTAAACGGTGTCAAACCGCCTATCTTGGATTTCGTACATAGCCAGAACCTGAGGTCACTATTTTGGATGATGAATCAAACAATTTTTATTGTCCTTTCCTATCAAAACAGGGTAGAGGAGTTTGGTTGGAAGTGAAGATCCGAACCCACTGCCCGGTCAACTCTCATTCACCCTCCAAGTACTTGGCCTCACTCGAGGAACTTGCCCAAAGTAGCAGCATAGACTGACAACGATCCTACAACGTCTACAACCCCATCACCTGACACAATAACATCACACAAGTTCATCCAAAGCAAAGCACAATCTTGCTCAAAGACCAAGTCAAACTGTCTAGCTCAAAAAATAAATCGCCTATCCCTAGCCAAGTACCCCCTTCCAGTCAGAAGGTATGACTGGACCCCGCTACAGCTACTCCGCCGCTACTCCGCCGCCCGCCTTCTCCGCCACGGCCGCGCGGGGCCACGGCCGCCGGCGCGCGGCGAGGAGCTTCACCGTGTCGCAGCGGAGCTCCAGGGCCTCTCGCCGTTGAGGATGACATGGGACGGGGGGAAGGGCTATGGGGCTATGGGGCTACGGGGCATCCAATTCCTTCATGGCGGGCAGGAATTGTTCCTGGGGAGATTCCTTCATGGCTATGGGGCAGAATGGTTGTTCCTCATAGCTATGGAGGATTTTTGGCAGGTCTGAACCTTCCAGGGATATAAATAGGGTGGTGAATGGTTGCCCCCCCCGAATCACGGCTAAGGGGCGAACAAACATAGACACCCCGAGGAGGGTCCTGGTCCTGGAAATGAGATGACACGACATGAGCCATGTTTAGGAATTGATGAGATGTTTCTCAGTTGAGTAGTGATTGTTCTTTTTTTGACGTGCAACGATCATGACTTCATGACGAAAATTCCAGGCACTGGTGTGTCTGTGATGGTCTTTATAAACCTCTCAGTCGATTCGGAGGAGCGATGCTGGGCTTAGATTCAAGCTGGAGAGATGACGATATGATTGGGTATATCGGTATATCCTATGAGGTGGCTTTCACCAATATACCAATGTATGTTGTCACCATTTGTCACCCATCACATTGGATATACTAGGACTAGGATTGGTAGGTGGTTGGTATAGACTCCCAACAGTGGATTTGTCAGCCTTAACTGGGTGAGGTGGTTGTCACGGAGACGAATGGTCAGTGACGAACGGTTTCGCAAGCCTCACTTACCACAGGGCCCAGTGGATGATGATGGTTACGTAGGTTGCAGGCCCACATCTCCATTGGATTGCCACGGCAAAAAAAACAACAGAACAAGATAAACCATGAACTTCCTTGTCGTGGAGATTTATAAGACCCAGTGATCCACATATACCTTTTCAGATCTACTTAACCCCCCAAACCTACATAAAAGAGTGTCCAAATATAGGGAGAGTTAAATCCTCCAATCTTCGGATGTCGCACTTCACTTGTCCCAGTGACAGGCACCACTCCGATTTGACCAACTGGTCTGTTTGCGTTTGCATCCGCGTCACTCACAGCCATGGGCGAGGTCGACCTCGCTTGGAAAAAAGACTGTCTTCTGGAGCCAAGCGACGGGCCCTGACTGGTGCTGAGTAAGGAATGCGGAATGAGGGAATGGATCCTATGGTATCTATAGTGAGGGCTCATTCTTTTGTTCCCTACTAAGCACCAGCGACGTCCCATTCTGAGGAATCACTTCCACCCCGAACGAACGAACCCCGCCCTCCCCGCGCCACGGGTGCGAAGCGTTGCGCGGCTCCGCTCGTCCGAGCCCGGAGCCCGCCTGGTTGCCAAAGGCCAATAAGCCGCCCAAGCTGGGATCCGGTGAAAGGCTGAGGGCTGGGATATGGGTGGCACAAACAGAATGGCTATAGGGGATCTGTAGCGTGGGGGTAGATGGCATGGAAGTGGCCTAAACCACAAGAGGATGGCAGATAGGGCGCCTCCTCATGCCATTGACTGGTTATCCCCTATACTTCACCCAGCCAAGCGCCATTTTCAGAAAAGCTGAGAAGCTGTAAATTGACTCATCAGTAGTCCCTTACTTCGAAGCCCTACAGAAGCCCTGAACGCTGCCCCGCTGAAAACTAACACTCTGAAAACCACGGGTTTGTAGAGGAAAGCAGTCTTTCAAGGTGCCATTCTCAGGGTCCGTGTTAGTTTTTGGGGGTGTAGTGCCCATCCAGGAAGAACGAATGCATCTTCCCGGACGATTCCCGGATAGGCTCCTGTGATGTATCACACTTTAACACATGTCAGGATGAAAGAAGGTTACTTTGATTCCTCTCTCCAAACAGAAGTGTGCAGATCAAACTGTTTCAGCCATGGTTTCAGCCATCTCGCGGCCTCATGTGGCCTCTGTGACGCCCAGGGGCGGATAAACCACGAAGAAGCAAGAGACCCAAAGGAAATGCAAGAGCAACTCGATGCATTCCTGCGCCGCAGGCTGATCACCAAGACCCCAAGACCTCACTGTAGGTGGTCCGGTGGTCCAGATTGAAATGGTGTGTAGGCGTTTTTGGAGAGGTGTCAGGTGTTTCACAGCCCCATAGTTAGCCCGTTCTCATCAGAAACCACTATAATTACAAACTCCTGGTTCAGGTCCTAGCCCTTTTAATACCACTAATTACAGGCTCCTACAAGGTTTCTCAACCTCTCTCTGGGGGTTTCAGGGGTGGTCCTGAAAGAAGTCACAGCCACCCCACTGACCTCTGACCTCTGGATGATTCTGGTGAAAGTGGAGTCTGAATCAAGTCCAATGGAGTGCTTGCGCCAAACCCCTTCCATCCCGCTGTGCGAACCTGTCTTCTTTAGATCTCTCGATCAAGTCCGGAACCGCGCCGCCTCCGCACCGCCTCTCTCTCGCCCCTCTCACGTCTCGTCGTTCTCTCCTCGAAGGGGTCGAAGACCCGCCGGCGCCCCTCCGCCAGCGCTCGCCGTCGCTCGGCGTCTGCGTCGTTGGCATCGTCCGCCAGGCGCAGCAGTGCACGGAGGGAGGCGGCTCCACCAGCATCTGCGCGGGGGGTTGCAGGGATCAACCGGCCTTCTTAAGAGTTGGAACATCTACCAAAGAGAGGTCATGGGAGGTCTTAGTTGGTACATTTTGATATTGAAGCTCTATCCATGTCTATCCCAAATAGAGGATTGGCTGTCAACTGGTCACCTATCAGGATCTCACGTCCGCTGGTGCGCAACTATAATGGTTGCCAAAAGAATCATCGAGCGTTGAGTGAAATCCCTTTTCAACCGCTAGTTTGTGAGGTCTTTGTGATCAGCTCTGAACATAAACATGATAGCTAGGCTGTCGTGGTGGTTACTCGGCCGCCACGTGAGTCGTCGCGCATCGCTGCGAGGATCAGGCCGCCAGGGCGTGATGCGTTCAGCTCTGATCATGCCAGAGCTTGTTCAAGTAAGCCTAGGGATCCAAGTATACCTCCTCAAAAGGTACGACTGGACCCTCCTGGCACCCACCCCAGTCCCACCTTCTCAAAGCGTAGATCCTTAGGGTAAGTGAGACCCACTCAATTGATCCTGAGTACATGATTGTGACGGTTGTGACTGGAGATCCGTATTACCAGGTCCAAACCCAGCGTCGACGTGGGCGACGTACGCAGCCCTGCCTCGTGCGTGCCAATCGCAGTACAACAGAAGAACCAGCAGCCTTGGACGAAAGACCCTGCCAAGGAGATGCAGGGGGTGACTGGTGCCCTTTTTTTCCTCATGACAACTGACAAACTGACTTATTCCAAACAGGGATCATCAGGAATGCGAAAAAAAAAAAACAGCACCCTCCAAGATCGCTGTTTCCTGTTGACGAGTCTGGTGTCCAGAAACCTGGGAAAGGTCCCCAAACAGCCAGTTGGCACCAAGAACCCCAGTCCAAGGCTGGGATCGTCCATGTTCCATGTCTGCTGGGTCATCTCGGCCTGCCACTATAGCCTCAATCCAAAGACTTGATAGGGCCGTTTGATAGGTCTGCTGAGCAGTGCGTTGCGACACCTAACCGGATGGGTCGGAATTCGAATTGGAGGCCTGAGTCCTGGAATGGCGGGGTTGGAGAATGTGTCAAATCAATCCAAGCCTTGATACAACGTGCTGATGCTCGAACATGTGCATTTCAGTTTATTGAGGTCAAATGCGACTGACCACTACGTGTCTGCTATGCTAGTATCGCAGTTCATGCGTGCACCTAGACTGGTGCCGCACAGCTTTAGCTTCTACAAGTCCATCATATTCACGTCCAACATCCCAAAATTCAGGGCCATGCACAAATTTGTAAGATTGATTGATGCCATCATATCCAACATCCAAAAGTTCAGAGCCATCCACAACTTTGCCAACATCAAAACTGCCAAGATGCCGCAACACTGCAATGACACACCTGTGCACAGCTGACGGTTCTTTTCTTTCGAACTGGTCTTCTCATCGGACTGAATCGGTCTTCTCATTGTCCCATTTGTTTAGGTCACTGGAGACTCCAATAAGGTCACGAATGGCTCAGGTCCCGGTAGGTAGCATAGGACTGCTGAATCAGTTGGGGTGGTGCCAGAGGGGACATGGCGCGGCATATATTCCTGGGATAGAGTTCTAGCTACTTCACCTGTGGCTTCGAGAGTCCCTACCCAGAGGGCTCCTGACGTGCAGAGAATTCGGGCGATTCAATTGCCGGTCAGGGATTGCTTGTTGGGGTACATGTAAACATGCTCATGTGGATAAAGCAGTGTAAGCTATAGCTGTCTCGCAATCAACTGTCAGTCCAAAACGGCAATCGTTTGCCACTTCTGCACTTCTTAGCTAAGTGGCATCCATCTTGTGACAAACATTAAACACATCTGAAGGGCAACATGATTGTCTATGACCAACTAATTAACCACCGCCCCTGAAGGGCGACCAAAATGACATAAGCTTCCGGAAATGTCACAGGCAACCTGATCGATATACCTTCTCTCCTTCCTCTAATTCAAATTAACTAAATCTCTTTCTTGGTGGCTAGATGAGACAATGTGACCCCTCCATAGATTGAGAATCAAGCAGCACCTTAACACCTCACACTTTTGAGCTAAACCACAACACAAGGCATCAATTCCTCTCATGAGAACAGTCCGAGCAATCAACACAAGCAACAGTAACAGCAGGATATAACCGAACAACACAACAGCAGGGCTCAGCAGGGTGTCCGAAAATGACGAACCACCAGGCCAGGGGCGGGGCATTGATCTTCCAGTCCGACGGTGAAAACTACTTGCGCCTGACCAGGTAGTCCAGGGGCCACCAGAGGTTCTCCAAGCTCCGCAACTTCTCAAGAAGAATCCTGTGCCAAGAGAGGTTAAGTGACCCTATAGACTATCCCATAGGTACCCCAGTAGGGTCCTATAAGGTCACTTAACCTCTCTTGGTGAAAGCCGCATCCGCTCGCTGAAAGAAGACGCTGGAGACGAGTTGGGACCTTCTGGGGTCAACCAAGGCAACTTACTCCGGTGTTGATGTTTATCATGTCGACCTGCAACCTTCTGTTTCAATCCCGGCTCCCCCCCAAACCAAAAAAAAACAACGTTCTGGGTCAATTCTTCCCATTCCCAAAGACTGGGCTGAGTTGAAACTAATTTGACTCGATGTCTTGAAATAAAGGTGCTGCGTTGAAACTAGTTTGAATCGATTTCGCAAAAAAGACTCAGTAGAAATTAATTTGTATCTTTTCTCAAAAGGACTGGTCTGGTCTGAGTTGACTCAATTTCTGAACAGGCTGGGCTGAGCTGAAATCAAATTGATTATATTTGTTCTCAGCAGGCCTGCCTGGGCTGAATTGAAACTAGTTTGACTCTTTTTCAATAATTTGACCAACAAAATCCTAAGTTGAAACTAACTTGACCCGTGTCTATCCTTTTTTATCCTTTCTCTACAAGGACTGGCATGAGTTCGTGTGGCTCGCATACAATAACACACTCACACAATGCTAGACGTTATATCTCCTTACAACATGACTATCGAGCTCTTCCTATCACGGGTGGCACACGCTGATCTTCACCTCGTCTGCGGTCCACGATGCCGGTCGTTGGGGCTCCCGACGGCAAGAGCGTCTTCTTGAAGATGCCCAGAATGCCGGAGATCAAGAAGGGCCTGGGGTTCTTTCACGCCGGTCTGCCCCACGAGTTTTGGGGCTTTGGGAGACCCAAGCGTGGGCGAAAGGGGGAAATCGAATGGGAGAAATTGATAGAAATTGGCCTTTGAGCATTTTTGAGGAGTGAAGGCAGTGTAGAGATGTGGTTAAAAGTATGTTAAAGTACCCTGCCTTAACCAGCAGAGTATCTTTGAGACTTCTACAGATTGTTGCAGCGAGCCGCCCGTCCGAACCTCCGGTTTGCTGTCCTTTGGGGTATCAATGCTCCAATGCGGGTGTTCGCACGTCCCCCATGTCCGCCCAGCAGCTGGTGTTTCCATGTGTTCCTCCGTAGCACTACCCACCCCTGAAGGCTTGGTATTGGCTGGAGTTCCTGGCTTCGCATATCAAAATGAGGAGTCGCATGACTCTTCACCGTTCGGGATTGGAAACCGAATCTCTGAATCCAGAACCTCTTGCACCAAGAATTCAGAAATGAACCTGCCGGTGGCACCGGAGAAGTGGCTTAAGACCGGAGAAGTGGCGAAAGCTCCGCAACAAGACGATCCAAACACTTTTTTGGGGGGAGCATCGGCTCCGACTGTATACAGGCTTCTGGGTTGACAACCCAACCCGGCCGAACACAAGCAATAATGACCTGGACGGGAGAAATGTTGGATAACAAAAGATACCAAAGTACAGTAATATGATGTGACTGAGAAATGACTGATATTTTCTCACCTGAGAAACAACTCATTCCTTGTGTGAGAAACAAGTCATTATCCATTCATGTCCCTTGCCTCTTCTTGATAGGGAACAGGTGCTGGATCTTCGGATCTCAGTCGGAAGCCTCCCGAGGTCCCAAGCACCCCTGGGTGCTGGCCAACCATCTCTTTTCACTACTAGATCATATACAAAATCCAATATCTCCCCCAATCATTGGCTTTTGCCAACCAAGCTCTTCTTTCATGCCGATGTCAGGCCATGTCAACACCCTGGATCCGAGCCGCCAACGCCCACTGACCGCGCCACACCAACGCCACACACGCGTTCAACGGAACGAGCCCGTCCCAGTCGATCCAAGGTGCCCTTTGACAGAGGCCAAGAAGAGTTGGAACCGCAAGGTGCGCGGCACGTTGAGCTTCAAACCTCTCGGTGTTGTGGGCGCAAACACTTTGGGTCGTCCCCGCTGGCCTTGAAAACAGCGGATGGAGGTTGTGATAGGAGGCAAGAGGAGAGGAGGAAAGGAAGGGAGGTGTCAGGGGACAACATCCGGCCTTAGGGTTCCCAGATGCTCCAAGTACCGGTCTTTGGACCCTCCTGGCACCCTTCCCACACCTTCTATAGAGCTCCAGGGGAGAGAAAGGCGGGCATCGACTGGGCAAACAAACAGAGTTTGGAGCATGCTTGGTCTTTTTCCAGCCGTAACGCTGGCATTCATGGAAGACTCTGGCACTTGTCTTGGATTAGATTGTCTTAGGGCCGGCTTGTATTGACCTGGACACCAACAAAACCAAACCATACCAAGCCTATTGATTCTATACTAAGAAGACATGAATCATGAACAACTCCCTGAATCACTGCCACGTCCCAGCTTGATTGTTTTCACCACAATGCTTCACCCCTGGGGCACCACGCAGCTAAACGACCAATTGCCTGAGATGCATCACGCGTGCACTGGTTGACTTTAGAAACCTTCTACCCTACAGGCCCCACAGGTCAAAGACCTCACTTCACTTCACTGAAGTTGATCATACAAAGACACTACTCAATAAGGTTTTCAGGCCCAGGTTTTACTGGATCAAACTCGTCTTGAATGAGGTCTGGGACACACCCAACTGATTCTCCAACAGATCCTGGAGTCTCACGTCATGTAACGCCACCTGTCCCTGTGTCCGGTGGCTTCGGTTCGACCCAGGCCACGGTTCAGCCGCCGCTGACGACCGACTTTAAGGCTTACGCCTGACAGCCGGGCGCCGGCCCAACACAGGGCAAAAGTAGGACGGTATTGAGGGGATAGAGGCAAAAAACATGAGGCGACGGGGGCCGGGAAGCCCGGCATCCCGGCAACATCCTTCAATGTGGAAGGGGGCTGACCGCCCGGGTGTATGTATCTTTCTTTGTATCTTTCTTTGTTTCTTTCTTGCTTTCTATCTTTCTATCTGTCTCTGTCTCTGTCTCTGTCTCTGTCTCTCTCTCTCTCTCTCTTTGAGACTGTGTGGGGCCTATGTTGCCACATCTTGGCTATCTTGGCCCATCTAGGGGCTATGTTTCCCATATCTGGGACCTATGTCGGGTCATCGTGCGGCTATGTGTGCCATATCTGGGACCTCTGTTGGGTCATTTGGAGGGCCTCTGTCAGATCATCTTGGAGCACATTTTCTGCCATTGATGTTGGAGCGCGCCCGACACCTACAAAATGCAGATTAATCCTGTCCGCGCGGCGCGCATTACCGACACCACCCTTGAAAAACACAGCGTTTTGGCATTTCTCCCTCTTCGCCGCGTCTCTGTTTGTGATGCGCACAAAATCCTGTAAACCACAGTGTGTTGTACTTCACACACACACGAAACACTGTAAATTATAGGCTGGGAGGTGGGTCGGGGGTGAACCGGGGGTGAACCGGAGGTGGTCGGCGCTGGGAGGCGTCGCTCTATAACCTTCGGTTACAACCGAAGGCCCTCCGGGCGACACACGGGCTGGCCCAGGGGCCGGCGCCCGGATTTTGGACCATGGACGACCGCTTCAGTTTCGGGTTTGTTGGATGCCTCAAGTGGGCGCCCAAAACTGCTAAGTTCCTTCGTGCACTGCTGGTTTCCGAGCTCAGTTGCCGCATGTCTTGGGGGGTGGTTGGTCACTGCTCGCCTGCCAAGCTGCCCAAGAACCAGAAATCCAAGCGCCCAGTGCAGCCCATTTCATCGCCCCCGTAATCTGGCACATAGAGGAAGCCCAAGACGCCTCGGCAGTTGGGTTTTGTGGAAGCAGCAAATGGCAGCACCATCTGGAACCACTCAACAGCAAGGAACATCACTTCCAATGGGCCAAGCGTAGCTCCACGTTGCAGGCGTTGCGGCTATGAAACATGTATATTCAAGGAGCGTTTTTTGGAATCGGCTGTCGTGCACTACTGACCACAAACCCACGCACCAAGGGATTGCAAACAGGACCAACATCTCTGAGTTTGGTGATCAAACACCAGAAATGAATCCCCCTACAAGCTTGCCCAATGTTGGCCCGTTAGTCTCAAAAGAAACACCGGCAGAACAAACAACATCCACAAGCCTTACTCCCAAACAGGAAAAGAACAAGCACACAAACATCTATAGTAAAACTGTAAAACTATATATAAAACTGTTCTACATGATACTACGTTGCAAGTCATGTCACTTGCAAGTCGTGTTCTTGTCGGCCGATACCGCAAAACGCGGCCAAAACGAGAACCACCGCGCCTTTTCCACCCCCCGATCTCAGTGTCGGATCCAAGTGGCAAATAAAGCCCAGTTTTCCCACCACCTCGGCACAGCAGCGGAATGTTTGGCAGGGGTCCCTCCTGCAAGATGTCCACCTCCCAGTTGTCCTATCTTCGAGTCGCAAGATGGATGACAGGCATACAGACTTTTTGAATGATTATGACATATATCACGACATATCATGACACCTTGCTTTTGGTGCGTCGTACACATTCTTCGGTGTCGCCGCTCCCTTCCCTTGGTCGACCTGATCTGGTGCCATTTGCCCCGCTCCGGCGGCTCCGTCGGCGCCTTTTTCACCCGACGGCGCCACCGGCGGGATTCGCTTCACTGCAGCCAGGTGCTTCGTCCACTTCCTTAGAATTCAGGAGATGGTTCATGATGGTTCATGTGTCCAAGCCGGAGCACCCCTTGTAGTGGGGGATGAGCGCCATGGCGCCCTGCCTGGTCGCCTGGTCTCGCAAGATGAGACGAGACGAGACTCGTGCGCGAGACAAACGAACTTCCAGGGACCAGTGACCAGGAAGGTCTAAGAACATCCAAGAACCAAACCTTTTTTCTATCCGGTCCTACAGTAGGTGCCGATTCGGCATAGAGCATTTCACCCACTTGATCACCATTCAACTTCGGCTGCCGAACTGCTCCGCTCGAAACAAGTCAACTTCAAAGACACAAAGAGAGAGAGAGAGAGAAACACAAAAAACAGCAACAACAAAAGAGGGGTTTCTGAAATTATATATATATATATATTAGTATATTAAAATTAAATGCTGTCAATACAACTATGCTGTCAATACAACTATAGCCTATAGATTTCAAGGATCCACATACCTCCTGAGAAGCTCTTAGAGGATGTTGGGGTGTCAAAAATGGTGAGTCAAACATACTCAAACTACAACATCTCACTTCTAAAGATACACTTAGATTATCTTAGATCCATTTACAAGGTCTTCTTCCTCACATCTTTCAGTGACTAAACTATAGTCAACTCATGTCAACTGGATCCTTTCCCTTTTTAACCTGCGTGGTCCCTTGGTCCCTTGCCTTCACTCTTCAAAAACAAACTGCCTGGTCCACCAAGAAGCCACCTTCTCCAGCCATAGCCCCTGCGCCGGCGCCTTTGGGGGTCGCCCGTGCGCTCTTCGATCGTCCGCTTCGACTCCCAGCTCGGCCAGCGTCTTCAGGGGCGGGCGTTGGTGGAGACCCACCTGCTCCAGGGAGGACCAGCCCGAGCAGCCCGCACATCGCTGGGTGTTGCGAGCAGGGCGTGGCATGTTGCGAGCGTTTGGCGTGTTTCTTTGCAGCGTTTGTTGTGAAGGAAATTGGACCAAAAGAACATGACGGAACAACTCAAGCCCTAAAGCTTGCAAAGGGTTATATAATTAAGCATGTTGTCCTGCTCTTCGTCACTTGGGCAGCTGATGCTGATATGAAACCTCGCAATGTGGCCTCCACCAGCAGCCCAACAATCCGTCGGACCATGTGCTTCAGAAAGCCCTGGCCCTTCACGCTGATCCTGGCGGCCAGGCATGGGCGTCGGCCAGGCAAACACGCGCAACCGCAAGCACAGTGGAACAGCCAGCCTCACGATTCAGTGGTTCGGTTTCAGTGGTTCCGAAACGAAGGGAAATGAGTTTGGCAACGTCACTTGGCAACGTCACTCCAGATGCCTAGTGGAATCAACCGAACAGCTATGTTTTTCCTGGAATATTCAACCCAACTCCTCAGCAGCTGAATTGGCTTCGCATCCAAAGGGGCTGCTGTTCCTGGGTGGGGGCCAAGGTACCGCAAGGGAGATTACTTTCTGGACCTCAAAAACGCACGCACACACACACACACCATGCGAGCCAAAGAGAAATGCAAGTGTGAAAAGGCCTTGTCCTTCTCATGCTTCTTGTGTCCAATTTCTTCATGGTGATTAGGGGGGTACCCTGGGCATATGATCACAACCTCTGGATCTCGCAGAATTGAAGTTCCCAGGTCTCCAAAAGCTCACAAGCACCTTCAGGCCTCTAACAGGCAGATTACTCAAAGGTCTGATGAAAAAACACCAGGACTCCATGAAACTCCTGACATCTTGAAGGTCTTAGAGATCATTCCCACCTTGGCATTTCAAATCAGGAGCTCCTAGATTCCAATACGGCACATCTGCAAAACACATGCGGGAGCAGAACGGGACTCTCTCATCCAAGAAGCTTTGTACAAAAGAAAAACAGATCCAAGCAGTTTGAATTTGAAAAAACACATCCAGGAAGTTTTTGAAAACAACATACATGTAAACTGTGTTGTAAAAGCACATCCAAGCAGCTTTGGACCAATGGTATTAGTATAATAGTAGCATATAGCTCTCTGAGGCTAAAGGGAAAAAACACTTCGTTCGACAAAGTCCCACCTGAAAGGACCACCAGGTGAGCCCTACCCGTTCCCATGGGAAGGTCGGCCGGCTTATGGAAAGATGGAAAGCAGCCAAGTGATCACCATGTAAACATGACTCTATGAATCTATATGAGTGTAGATATTCTCGGCAAAAAGTGTCGATGGTGGTCAAAAGGAATCTGATTCCTGAAGTTGGTCATCAGTTTGTTATTAGCTTGAGGGATGTTTGAGGGTTTGGAAACCACAAATACCCCCCCCAACTCTAACATGGAACCTGAGAATTGACCGGTGGTTTCGACCATGTTCCGAATATTCAGGTTCCATGTGGTCCTATGCAGGGAAGTCACCCCAGACCGTTCCCCTTTTTCTTCTTCATGTTGATTTCATCCGAGGAACGCGGCGCTTTCGCTCCACAAGAGCCACACTCCTGGCACTCCTGTGGACATTGATCGAGCGCAAGCGGCTGGAACATGCCCGTTCCTTTGGCTACGGGTTCTAACCGAGTTAGTGATTTGTTAGTGATTTAGTCAAACCTTCTTCAAAAACATGTGATTTTTGTGACATTGATAACTGTTCAACACAAAATAACGACACATTCTAAACCTAAAAGGAGGGTCTAAGAGCGTGCTGTTTCTTAGAGATCAAGGACAGGGGGTCGCATCTTGGATGGGACCCTGGATCCTTTTTATCAGATCAATAGGACCCCGGTCGGACCGATGCAGCATGCAGCGACGCCACAAGGACTCTTACATTCTGGCTCAACATGAATTCAAGGGACTCGGTCTTCACAATTCATAGAGTCTAGGAGATCCATACATGGACAATTCATAGGACTCCGAGTCCGGAGGAGATGTCAATTCAAGGACTCTTATGACTCTCGGTCTTTGACCTCTCCTCCCCCCACGCGCTACGCGGTGTGTGTTTTCACCCCGGCCGTTCCGAATTCACCGCCTCGGCTGCGTGGAGCCGTCCGGAGTCGCAGCAAAAGCGCATCAAGCCGAAGTTGACCTGGAGGCTGTGGTCGACCCACGAGTAGTAGTGGGTGGTGGACACCCGAAGCTCGAGGGGTCGGGGCGATTTTACACCCCGATCGACCAGGGACGCTGGTATCGAAGTGGTCACCTCGCAGTAGTCACTAGTCCATTCGGTTCGTCGGTGGTCAACCGTGCCCTGGTTTGTGGAATCAAATAGGGGGAGACTTCCCATTTCGACCTGTTGGAATCCCTGGAAGAAGGAAATTCGACCGTCGAACCACTAGCAAAGCCCATGGATTGGGGATCTCGCTCTTGAAATGCATGGCGCCATACCAACACCTGGAACCCCAGTCCGGCGTGGTTAATGGACACCCGAATCACCTCTTTTCGGGGCTATTAATGGACACCCTTTCTGTGGTGCAGTGCTGGCAAAGGTTTGACTAGTTCGACTATCTGGTACTCAGGTCCTATGACGTGGTTGATTGGTACCTATGACCTTATAACGTGCACCTATACTTTGGGTCTATCCTATGACCAGGACCTCAGTGGATGGTAATGCCTATATATAGTATATTAATTGTTTACTGACTGTTACAGGTTTACTGGGAAGGACCTAACCTATGCCTATACTTATACCTACCCTAGGGATCCACATACCTTCTCAGAATGTACTTGGGCCCTCCAGCCTCCAGGTTTGTATAGATAGTCTCCGTCCTCAGCTTCTGAGAAGGTACTTGGAACCCTAGGGCTATATCACGTGCAGGATTTCCCTGTCTCGAACGCGACGTCTGCGTTGTCGTCCTCGTCCTTCGTCGTCGTCGTCGTCGTCGTCGTCCAAAGAGACGACCCACACCGGTTGGGTCATCGGGAAACAACGTGAACATCATTTCATATGATAATCAAACAAAAGGATTGTGTTTGTTGTGGTCGTGGTTGTTGTGGTTGTTGTGGTTGTTGTGGTTGCTGTGGTTGCTGTGGTTGCTGTGGTTGGTGTGGTTGTTGTGGTTGTTGTGGTTGTGGTTGTTGTGGTTGTTGTGGTTGTTGTGGTTGTTGTGGTTGTTGCTGTTGTTGTTGTGGTTGTTGTTGTTGTTGTGGTTGTTGTTGTTGTTGTTGTTGTTGTTGTGGTTGTTGTTGTTGTTGTGGTTGTTGTGGTGGTTGTGGTGGTTGTGGTTGTTGTGGTTGTGGTTGTTGTGGTTGTTGTGGTTGTTGTGGTTGTTGTGGTTGTTGTGGTTGTTGTGGTGGTTGTGGTTGTGGTTGTGGTTGTGGTTGTTGTTGTTGGTGGTGCTGGTGCTGGTGCTGGTGCTGGTGCTGTTGGTGTTGTTGTTGTTGTTGTTGTTGTTGTTGTTGTTGTTGTTTTGTTGTTGACTATGTTTGTATGTTTTGGAACACAAATGGCGTTTTTGTTTCGCCAGGCCAACCCAAACAACTGTTTCTCGCACTTGTCAATGCAACAATCACCGCGCGCACGTCTCCATCGGCCAACGTCCACACGTCCCGGCGACATGTCTTGGGCAGGTGATCTCCAAGGATTCGATCTCCCGCACGGTGGAGGCGGCCTGTGGAGGCCCAGCCGACTGAAGGACCTCTTGGAAACCAGAAAGGCTTCCAAATCTCTGGGAAAAGTACAGAACAAAAGGCAGCCAACGATCAGTGGTGAGTCTAGTGTTAGAAGTCCAACCAACGATAAATATTA